AATCAAGGATAAGAAACCTTAACTCTATTAAGTTATGCACAAGCATTTGAAACTTTATGTTGTCAAGATACAGACCATCATTATGAGAGAGATCAAGTGAAACCAATTTCGTTAGCCGAAAAACTTGGCTTGAAAAGTTTCCTTGCAAACTGCAACCTCTAAGGCTCAAATGCTCCAAGGAAGAAGTCAAGTTTAGCAAGGAAGAAGGCACAACCAGAGACATATCTACATAATCGAGGATAAGAAACCTTAACTCTATTAAGTTATGCACAAGCATTTGAAACTTTATGTTGTCAAGATACAAACCATCATTATCAGAGAGATCGAGTGAAACCAATTTAGGTAACAAGGAGATCTCATCAAACAGGAGAGAGCCATCCATGCATACTGACTCTGCAAAGTTAAAGATTTGTCACATTAGAAGAAGTGAAACCAGTTTTGGAAGCAAGATTTTAAACAAAAGAAAAAGAAATGAAATCTCGTACCTGAAAGATTAAGATATGTTAAACTCTTCCAACGGTCGAACCCAAATGAGATGTTAGGATAATGAAAACAATTGTGAGAAAGGTTGAGACTCTGCAATTTCTCAAGGCGGAAGAGACTACTATTTGTAGTTAGATTGGCTTCAAGACAATTACTGCTAAGATCAAGGCCAATCACGTGACCTTTCACCTTGTCGCATGTGATGCCCTCCCACAAGCAGCAGTCTTTACTCTCATTCCAAGTTTGTGTTTTAGGACAAGGAGTAGCACTCCAAGGGCAGTGTTCCACCAAATTAGCAGTGCTTTTGAAATCAAGCAAAGCAGAACGCTCTTCAGGACGGCACAAATGTGGTGATGAATCGGGAGAAGATTGAGAAGGTGAGGAGCTTTGGACTCGAAACTGTAACAACATGAAGGAAAGGCAGAGGATTTGGGAAAACCTTATTAAACTTGCCATTTTCTTAAAGATGAACACAAGTCGGGAAACAAAGGAGTGATGGATTATTCAAAATTGTAGGGCTAGACCCAAGAATTTATGGTCTTGCCAAAAGCGAAAGTCCTTCAGCTTTTTTCCAAATTACGTGTAAACTTCTTTAGCACGGTCAAATTTTTTCTTTATCATTTTATAAAAAAAATAGTGTTCACACAAATAAATTCAATTATTCAAATACCCAGCTGAGAAAAAGCGAAAAAGGAAAGGCCCAAGGAAATACCTCTGCTCATAAGATTTTCTTCTATCAGCAAACGGTCCAACAAAAAGTGTCAACCAAGAAAGCTTACTTTTGACGGGGCGAACCTATTCCACAACATTTTGTTTTTTGGTTCGTTTCTTCCTCTATGATTCCAAGCAGAGATCTGAAAAGGAAATTGAAAAAGAGTGGAATCGAGTTAGGGAAATCAAAGATAGAATAGAGGGGTTCTGAATGAAGAGAAAAAAGAGTGAAATCGAATAATAAAAGGTTATGTGGCTATTGAAGATGAAGAATTCAAAGAAGGAATTCATATTTAGGGGTTTGTGAATTTTCGGAAACAGGGGAAGGTTGAATGGCGAGGAAGGCAACCTGAGGGTTGCGGACAAGCGCTTGAAACGACGTCGTTTCAAGAATTCATTCCGTCCAAAAGTTGCCACTACGGGCTGCAAACCATTTTACCGGTTAATAAAACTGTTTTTGATATTACACTTACACATATTTAAACTTTTTTTTTATTATTGTTAACACACATAATTAGCTTGAAGTGAGGAGTATAGATCAGTATAATAGTGTTAGGGTGCCGGCCGCCAGGCTTCAAGGCTATTTGATAGGTACATTTAATGTTTTGAAAATTTTTACATGACATGATTTTTTAATTTGTTATTATAAAATTAATTTTCTTTAATTTGTCATTATTCTTGGTTTCAAAATATATGACATGATTCTTGTATGTATTAAATGAAATCGAAGATAATATAATTATAATATTAGGTAAAATTATAAATTTATTATATAATATATTGTTATATAATTAATTTTTTATTTAAAAATTTATT